TAACTGATCGCGGTTGTCAATATCATTAGCAGATAAGCACTCCTCATAAAAAGGTACGGAAATATCACTCCACAAAAAATGAATCATATCTTTCTTGCACGAAATATTTTTTGAAACAAGCTCAACCCAATAAATTATCAAATAAAATTAAAATGTTAATTCTATATTTAATAACTAAGATAATAGATATCTATCATTGGCTGGTGAAAAAAAAGGAATTGTTCGACTAAATTTTTCATCAATAATTTAATTATCAAAAAGAAATTAAAACATCAATTAAATATTTAATAATTAAAATAAAATTAACAAACCCATTGTTGGTGATAATTCCAAATATTGTATATGTATATAAATTTTTTTACCAGGACCCACACGTAACAACCAATTACATGTGACATTTTTTGGATAAAATGATGGATAACCGGGACTTCGTATTTCACCAGCGAATGCTTTCATATTGCTATGACCACCGCAATATTTCAGATACCTTAGATCATCATCAAAATAGCTACTAGCTGGTTCAAATATTGATTCTAAAATGAAAATATTTGAAAAAAAAAAATAATTGGAAATGGTAGATTTGATTTGAATTAATTATATATGAAATTCATTTTGAATTAGAATTGTTTTTAGCTATTTTATAGCAAATTTTCTCCTTCCTTATTTCTTCTTTTTTTAAATCAATTTTTTGTTTGATTTGATGAAATTATTTAAAAAATATTAAACGGTACCTTTAATATTAATGATATAAATAGGAAATATCATTTATGATACTCTATCGATAAGATATGATATTGCTTTAATAAGTCATTATTGTTATCATAATTATTTTAATTGATAATTATTCATTAATTGACCTCTTTAACAAGTCATTATTGTTATCATAATAATTTTAATTGATGATTATTCATTGATTGATCTCATGAGTTCAAAATAATGATCATAAGTTACAGAAACAATGAAATACTGAAAATAACGTGTAAAATGATCTAAGCGGAAGAGTTGAAATTTTTAAAAAGATTTTAATTTTTAACCCTATTTATATATTTCGAATAAATTAACAACTGGGAGCATTCTCAATGTTTTCATTATTTTCTATGATCTTTATGTAATAATTCTTGGCCTAAAAATGCATGAATAACTTTTTGAATCTTTTATACTGAACATAAATTACAATTTGAATAAGTTAAACATTGATAACGTAAATATTCATAAAAATATAATTATCAATAAATGTTTGTTATTTCGATCTACTCATACTTCAATACAAAATTGTAATTATGTTCAGTACAGAAATAGAGAAGTTTCAATTTTATAATCGATAGAAATATCGATTATAAAATTGAAACTTAAGGAAATTAACGAATGGATATTATCAGGAAATGAAGCCTGTAGCTTAATTGATTCGGAAAAGTTACTGGACCCGAACAAGCTAAGGGTTGTATTATCAGGAAATGAAGCCTATAGCTTAATTGATTCGGAAAAGTTACTGGACCCGAACAAGCTAAGGATTGGATGAATTAAGATTGTTCTTTAGCATTTAATTCTAGAAAAAAATTAGTAAAATGTAATATCCATCTCTTTATAATATTACACTAAAATTCATCACATAAAGGTAATGAAGAGTAATAATATAAACATTAGAAATATTTGCAATTGCTAATTTGCGTTTAAATTTAAAAATTATAAATTAAATAAAAATTTATTCAATTCTTTCATTCTAATCATTTCATTCATCATTTTCTCATTATTTCTAATGTTTTGGCCCTTTTCCTTTATCTCTCCCTCTCTCTCTCTCTCTTCTAATTCCTTTAACTTTGCACTTTAAATTTTTGCAAAAATAATTATGAATTTTAATTAATAATTATGATTGTTAAATAAAATTCAATCTTGGAAAATTTATCCATTTCCAATATTGTAATAGCTTGAAAAGTAGGAAAGAATTCAAAAGTGAAATATGAAATTCTTTTAATAATTGTTCATTTTATTAAGAATCATGAATGAGAAACAATGTAAATTCATTATCAATATTTAAAAGTAAACCTTCCGTTAAGAATTGATAACGCAATCGGAAACCTGAGTATTCATTCGTGTGTGAGGAATGAAAACGAATATAAACCGAATTTTGCATGGTATGTAAAGGTTCAGGAAGTTGATTACCACAAAAGCGTTCACCAACATGTTCACGTCCTTTACGATCCACTACGGTAACGATCACATAATCATTAAGGCATTGATTAGAGTGTAGCATACGGCCTTCCAGATGAAAATGAGTAAAAGTTAGATGGATAACCAAATTTGCAGAGGCAGTTATATTGAAAAGGCAGTCTTGATTAGACGGATAGCTGTATGGATAATTGGGAGATGTCAAATAACCGCTTGACACCCCTCTCCCGTGAATTTCTTGTATTTCACATGATTTTTGTGATTGTAATTGTCGTTGCTGTTGTTGTTGTTGTTGTTGTTGCTGTTGTTGTTGTCCTTCTGTTGGCCTTGTAATACCTATCATAAAAGCCAATAACAGGGGAGCAACATTCATTCATTTATTTATCCAACCCACTTGATCAGCTTATCTACTTACTGCTTAATCAAATTGTTTTATCAAATTTGAATATCTTATTTATGGTTGCTGTAAATATCGGCGAATAATAATTTAACGATATATCCTTAATAATAACAATAAATTTGATACAGCTATCAACATAAAAAAATAAGCAGAATAGAAGGACGACAGAAATAGTGCGTTCTAATAGGCAATCATTGGCCGACAATTTTTTTGTTTGACGAAAATTATAAAATTTCCAGAACAATATAACAGTTCCAACGAGCAATAATGGTACTCATGTCTTCAACAATAAAAGATTTGAATATTTCTTTGACTATTTAAAAATTAATGCCATTTTTCTCTTTATAAAATAGTTCGAATAATATGATCAGAAGAATCTAGCAAACACCGGTAGCAATAGTTATCAATTTAGGCCGTAACGTTTAAGTCGAAAAGCAGTTTGGGAAGGTTCGGCAAGCATAATCGGAGTCGTGAAGAGCAATTTTCGAGCTGATAACCAACAGGCCTGGACGCATCGATCTCTACGCATCAAGCATACTCCATCGTCTCCTTCCACTTTCTTCAATGCACATGCTTCTGGTCCATATAGCAGTACTCGTTTCTGCAAATAAAATATTAAAAGCGGGTAGAGGAGAAACAGCATATTGGGTTTATGGGGCAAAAGAAGAATGTAAAGAGTGAATTAGAGATGTACTGCATTAAGATCTTGTCTCCTACGCATCCCCAATCGGCCACACTATTTACTTTCTTAAAAATTACTCTCGAACCCTCCTCATTCCTCTAAACACTATGGACATAATCTTTCTGAATTCTTTCCATTTCTCCACTCATCACGCTCCTTTAAGCACAGAAGTAAAGGAAAGGCAAAATCAAGATGCACACGAAACTAATCGTTTTTTGAATGGCCACCAATTGGCACACCATCTATAGATATATTATCAGGGTCTGTCGCGATACCCTACCCGTATATTCAGCAGATAATTTCGTAAATTATCATGTATAATATTTATTGCCTACTAAACACATAGATGTCGAAATTCAATTTTCGGAAGAAAGCCATCTACCAATTTCTAATCAAAGGACGACAGGTCTCATTATTTCTTGGGATTTAAACGTTGAAATTTTCGAAAAAGAAGTTTTGAGTACCCAGAAAAAGAAATGAATTTTATATACTCTTAATTTATGAACTTTATATGTCTTAAATTTAACTCAGAGAAGGAAAATTAGAAAATTATTTTGACTGCATTCATTTTTCTTCATACATACACGTAGATATATACTAATTATATATCGCCTTTCCACTCGTGTCCCCTGAGCCTTTTTTACCCATTATTAAAAGCAGACTTCTCCCTCCTACAAAACATCATCCGAAAAAATCATTAAAAAATACATTAAACACTTACTCCATTAATGAGCCCAATAACTCGAAAACTGCCTCGTGAACCACTCAAAACAACACCATTTGAATTATTGCAATCCATTTGTAAAACGAATTCATCAGGTAACATGCATAATGCTTCTGTTGAAATTGTATTGTCACTAAGAATGTTTGTATCGGTGTCATACTCGATAAGTGTGCGTTTTCTATCAGCACAGAGAATATAGAGCGAGGCAAAATTAATAAATTGAACATCGATGTAAACGTTTGTGCCGGGAATTTCCAACTTCCGTAACGTCTATAAAAAACAAATAATATTTAAAAAGCTTGAAGAAACAGATAACAAGATATCTTAATCTATAAAACAATTTTCTCTATAAAAACGGTTCAGTAAATTATCTGACCAATATAATAGATCATCCAGTAATAAAGCAATTAAAGACAGGAGCTTTGGAAAAATTAAGGAAATAAAAAAGAGCAAAAGAGTTATTCATCACCAGAGAATTTATATTTATGGATAATAGGTAAGCATTTCTATGACATCACCTGATATGAAAAAAGCGTAAAACATAAAGTGAGCTTATGGTGAACGAGAATGGACAAATAATGTGGTATATCGTAAAGCTAGTAAATGTCGTGATAAATTTTAAACGATATATGCTTAAATTAGTGTTTAAAATAGTAAAAAAAATGAACAAAATACTGGATTGTAGATGATAAGTTTAAAATCTTTTAGGTTTTAAATATTTCTTAAAGTTATCTCTTAGATTTTTTTCTAATATTTCTAAAATTTATTTTAAATATATATTTCTAAAAAAATACAGACCTTTTTGCGAATTTCCAGAATAAAAATTTCATTTCGCGCTGTGAGAAATATAAGTGACGTTTCAGTCATATTAGGGTGTAATCGAACTACCTCACCGGCATTGTCTGAAAAAATTATATTCGTATACTACTCTAATCTGTCTATCTTTTCATTGCTGCATAGCAAAACCTCGTAAATTTATTATCATCTACAAATTAATGAAAAATTACCTGTCAAATAAGTCCAGTTAAAAAAACCCTGTCCAGATTTGGAGCTGTAGAAAAAGTACCAAGTATAATTAACAAAAAAGCAGCAAAATTACCTCTTTCAGCGATTATATCCGGATATTCTGGTATAGAATCACAAATTGGTAAGCTAGATATCCTAAGGCATCCGGATGCAACAAACAAAGATGTTGATGTAAAGAGCAATCCTGTTCCACAAATATTTATTCTCTTCAGGACAGATATACTGTGTTCTTTCGAAAAGTTGAGATCCAATTTGTAAAGAGTTGTTGTATAAATTGTAGAAACTGCTAACAAACTGCCTTCACGGTTAAATGCACTAAAAAAGAATAGAAAGTTTACTAAGATAAGAGAATAAGAGAATGTATGCCCATATTTTTTCTTATAAATCAAAGTTTAAAAAGACGAAAATTAAATGAATATATGCAAATAATATTCGCATGTTTGTTTTTCCGATATTCATTCTAAACAGAGCAAATAATCATTAATTTAATGAGCGAAGATGACCCCATCTTTAAAAATGATTCTATAAGTTAAAAAGTTCGCTTCAAATGCAAAATCAACTCACCTTGATCTAATGAACTCTCCACAATGTGACCGTAACTGAGCTAACTTGACTGGACCATTTGCTAAAGAAGAAATTCCTTTCTTCGATGTTACTTCACTGGGATGACCAGCTTTCCAAATAACAATGCGATTATCGTACTGGTATGAAAACATGTTCGCGTCCACCGCAACATTACAGGTTATCTAAAAAAGATTTCAGCGAAACAATTTATTTCTAAGAGGCAATTCATCTTTAATAAATCCAAATAAAACATGTTCCGATTAATATAAGAATAATTCAACTGAATGTACTGACTGCTAAAAACGCGAAAACAATTTGACAAATATTCAATTTATAAAAAAACATGAATTTTCAAGCTTACATTTTTCAAAGCATCAGTATGGCTAAAGCGATTACTGATGCAAAAGTAGTAATCGGCACCACCGGAATAGAGAGCCGTCATATGTTTCGATGCAACCAAAGCTCGAACGTCATTACTATGAATTGTTCTTCGATGTTCAATGCGATATGCAGTACGTTCCTGTAATTGATTTTAAAGTTGAAATGTGTAAATATAAAGGCTTTACCATAAAAATAAAGGTTTTATCAATGAATAAATACCTATCCTTTTTCATATACGCTTACGTAATCAACGATTCTGCTCAAAATAAGTATATTTCTTTTCTATTAGCTCAAAAGTTCAGTAATCTGTTTCTTTCGAATCTTATTCCCTCTTTCCAGTAGAGTGACAATTAAATACATAAACCTGATTAAGGCCAAGTCGAGCAATTGTAGGATCCACACCGGCAGCATAGAGCGATTCATTCACCACAGTTATTGATAAAACATCACTTTGGTGTGTTTGCAAACACTGAAATATCATTTACTTTCAAAAAATAGAATTTTTCCCGTACTCATCCAAATATCGTATTAAGATCCTCAATTCTTCTTTAAAGAAGAAGATGCAAAATAAATGATATTACATGTGAAAATGCTCCATTTGATGCATTCCAAAATGTTAGATATCCTCGTGAATCACCCGATGCCAGTATATCGCCACTGAAATTACTGCTTACAGTTTTCTTCTAAAATATGCCATGAACCGAGATCGGCTTTGTTATTTTAGTACAGAGATAATTCCTTCCAACAACTCAAAAATACCGAAATAATAATTTGATAACAAACACGGCGAGGACTCACTTCACTGAATGTTTATAAATACTTTGGAAAAATCAGGCAATCAGCTGTTGAAATATATAACAAGATGTTGAAAGAAAATCACAACAAAAATGAAAGTTACATGAAGCATAAGCACCAAACAATAGTTGGTTTTCGTTTTTCGATCCGAGGTAATTTCATTCTATGCTCTATTCGTTGTTTCGACACACTTATGAGACTGATTTCATCCATTGTTCCAGCAGCGATCATATTACTATTGCACGCCAACGACATTACATGTGTACCAAAACCTGAGAAAAATAATCCCTTTTTGTAAAATTCATAATTCTTTATGATCAAATTCATTTCAGCAAAAATATTTTCAAATTCAGAAATCTCTCAATCAAAAGCCACTTATTAGGTCTTCCTTTACTTCATTACGCGTCTCCCTTAGCTGAATAAAAGTTTTTTATGAATTTGGGAATCAGTAACACCAATCAAAATAAGTAAGATATTGCGCTTAAATTTCAGAATACTTGAAAATTACCAATAGATACTGTCTTATTCAAAGCAATACGATTATTCTCTTCCAAAGACAGTATTAACACAGCTCCTGAATCGGAACCAGCACAGAACATGCTTCCTTTTATTGAGACCAGGCACCACAACGGGGTTGGTGTAAGTCGAATCGTCTGTCACAAATTATACAGTAAGATATAGATTCAAGAATTTAACATCTAATAAACACAAGGGAAGATAATAGTGCAATTTCACTAGATAATGTCTAAAATTACATGAATTATGTCAATCACTGAACAAATAAACTTATTAGAAGACTGCAGTTTTACTACAATTATTTGATACTCTGTATTCAATCTAATTTTATATTATTAATAAACAAATTTCATTTTACTGCAATTGAGGTCCAAGTGTTTAAACTTGAAAATCAGGTATTTAATTTCAAAAGTTCATTCCAAAAAACTTTGTGGTCGACAGGACTCACAAAGTATTCCGACGTGTGAAGACGATGACTTGTTATCGAACCATCGAGATGTGCTGCAAGTAAAATATCACCCATCCAAAGCAGTGATTCGGCGGTTTTATTCCCAAGAAATGTGCTTCGAACATAAAACATTGGTGTGCCGATTACATTCCAAAATTCTATCATACCATCACGTTTTTTATCGCTGTAAAATATTTCATTGGAAGAGTGACTTATCTAATCATTTAGAACTATGAAAAATATGAAAAAAATTTTGATTCATGGATTCATGGATTCATGGACCAACTTAAACTATAACAAAAACGATTCTTACAACAGTAACAAAAAGTACTTCTTTTCGTGGGGATAATTTGTAGCTTATAAAATCTTGGTTAAGCAACAACTACAACAATAGTAATAGTAATAAATGTTTATTAAAATTCGTATAAACAAAAAAGGATTATTCAAAAATAAATAACACCACCGAATGAAGTGATAAAGGAAACAAAAAACTAAACCGAATATGGAAAACATTAGTAGTACCAAACTAAGGTTGAGGAACTTCGTGAATGAGCAAGAAAAAACTCACGAAAAATCGGAATGCCGAGCAACAGCTAGAATACCTTGTCGTTCATCTAACTCTAAGCAATCAACCGTGTAAGGTTCATGCTCAAACAAATCACATTCATGTATTTCGAAACCATTCATTCCATTCACTGCACTTTCTTTTTCTATTAAAATGAAACAAATCGTTGTAATGATAACACTGCTTTGTAGTTAAAAGCGTACTTCATGTAAAACTATAAGTGTTCGCATACAGAAGCATAATCAAATCTTTGGAAACCAGTGATCTCATCTGCGTGTGCGTATGAATAAAAACATACGTGAGGAATAGAATAAGCTGTCAGCTCTTACACATTCCATGTAATCAAAAATTTTAATCTCACTGGCGCCTAAAGGAATATGAAATCCATTCAATCAGTGAAATAAGGAAATTTTTTTTCTCACTTCAGATTACTGTAATAGGCCTTTATGTACAATAACCTTAAACTCAAAGAAATCTATAAAGATTTTAGCCTCTAATGGCATGAATTATTTCCAGCAAACATATTAGTAACTTACTATAGATATTGAATGAATATCAACCGATACGAATTCATATATGATATTTTGTTAAAAATGTAAAATGAAGGAAAAGTTTATTTCAGGAATTGCTTCACTTATATACAAAACAACGAGATTAAAACTACAAGTCGGAATAAATTTGAATTTTGATAAATGGAATTCAGAACAAAACGAATTTCAAATAAAAGCATAATTGGTAATTCTTCGGTAGCAAAACCTAATTATAAAAAATAATGATAAAACGACAGTTATAAAATAACCCAAACTACAAATACTTCAAACAAACAAAATTTCAATAACTGTAATAAAAATAACAATATATTACCACCCTATTCCTTGTGGCCCAAAAAAATAATAAAACGAAATGTTTCAAGCATCACAATAAATTATTTCAAAATATATAAAAGTTGCACATTTTTCACTAAAAACGAAGTATACATGGATAAATTATTTCTGCAATAAGTAGTGGAAATATCAACAAACATAGGAAATCATATCGATACAATACATAAGCAAAAAAAAGTTGCCATAAAACAATAGCAATCTATCGAAGTCAACTTAACAGAGGCAAATATTTAACAAGAAAAACTTCGATCTTTGGAAAACTTGCTGAAGAGACAAGCTTAGCATGTTCACTATCACAAGAACTCAAGCAGTCAAGCATTATCAAAATATATTGCTTTAGCATTTTGATCGTTTACCTGCCAAAATTCATGTTCTATTCTACTACTGAATAAAACCAACAATGCATATTTCTGATTACATAGCATAAAAAAAAATTCATGGAATGAAAAATCTAAAGCAAAAGTGACATTAGAAAGAATATTAAATGTCAAATACTGATCAAGAAACATTTAAAATAATAGAGAGATGGAAAAAAGCTTGAAGAAAGCAAAGAGTTACTCTTCAGAAAGAATTTAATGTTTTTTTTTCATAGATGATAACGCCATTTATAAATGATGTTGTCATCTATGAAAAACTATATGAAAGCTAAAACGGGTCATGATCGGCGTATAGTGCGCAGTTACAATTGTATTTTATAACAAACTTAAAAATTGGAACAAGCGCCAATAGAAAAGTTAACGGCAACTTGGGCCAAGAATTTTGGCTGCATAAATCTTAAAATAAAATAAAAATTTACGGTTCAAAGATCAGTATCGAACCATAAAGGACTTCGATTATTAGTCTGGTAGGGTGGGGGATGTTGCCATGACTGGGGATGATCCAACTGTTCCATTTCTGAGGAATGATACATTGCAGCAAAAAGTTCTGATTCGAGACCATCATGCATCCATTCTTCACCACTGTTTATCACACTTTCAATTTCTGTGTCCAGTTCTCCACGATACATCATTGGCTTATCAAATTGAAGATTTTTCAATATGCCAGATGCATATGTTGCTATAAAAATGTCGCATTTTGGAACAGGTATATACCGATTTTTGTTCGTTTGATTTTAACAGAATTAAGCAACAGGCATCTCTTTTATCAATGACTCATTATTACTCAGTATGATACACATGCGATAAGATACTTGGATTAGATTCTGTAGAGAGATAACCGCAAATAACGCTTACTCGGGATTCACTACTTATAACCGCTACCAATACGAATTGCTATTGATGCAAATTAGAAATGTTAAACATTACAAACAGCTTATCGATTTATAATTTCGAGTAAAAACCTACAAATTGCTCTGCGCTTGGAATGTAATGCATCAGCAAGTACAGGAGTTGGTCCGAACATATCTAGTTGGCGTGCACCTTCTGGAGTCTTTGAGAGTTGATACAGAAGTCCCAGAAGTTCACGCTGTAGCAACTCATCATCATTTGCATATATTTCTTCCCATGAAAGCAGCTAAAATTTTTTTCAAATTAGAAAAATGCCGAGTTCATAATATGCTTAAAAGGTGAATAAAATTCGTCAATGCAAAAAATACCTTTAACAGTACTTGTAAGAGATCACCAATGAAAGATAAACAAAAGATCAAAAAAATCTAAATTTTTTAAAGAACATGTTTAACTTTTATGAGCATATCAACGAATGGGTGATCGCGAAGCATGAGATCAGCTGACTGAGGGTCATTTCCAAGCTGGTGCAATGCTGATACGGCACCTTCAACTAATTCACGCATGGCTACACCATCTGCTAATGCATCTGGATTTTGACGGAGCTGAGTACCAGCTCGCCCCAAAACGTCCATCGCCAAAGTAACCACCGATTCTCCTTTTGATGTCTTTTCCTGCAAATAAGATTTATTCTTAAATAATGAATTGTTGGATACAAAATGAAGAATTTTTCTTAAATAAATTCATCATAACTCTGTGACACTTACATGGGTCAGAGGGTGTAAGTTAGCAGGAAGGAGTGCAAGATTTCGGACAAGTCCTAGAGCTGCTTTAACAACTGGGGCTCGCATCGATGAAATTAACTCTAAAATGACAGGTAAAGTTTGTGATAAGCGGATATCACTTTGTGCCTGTGATGCCAGCGGATGCCGAGCAGTACAGTGCCTCAATGCGCAAAGCGTTGGTTCTGTAACTTCCTCAACTGTTGAAAACCGTTCAAGCGCACTACATAGCGCATCCATTCCCCTGAAATATCAAGCTAGACCACTACTTTTTTCTAACCAAGACCAATTAGTATTTTAAAAACAAAGTACTGATTGCTTTCGATTTTTAACAATAGTTGGGTTGTAAAATAGTACAATAAAATGACCCGACCTATTAAAACATAAGGTTTGTTTGTTGCGAATATTGTTACAAGTTAAATTTGATAGGATGCCAGCAGCACATGCACTTGTTGATTCTTCACCTGTTGCAACAACATGGATTAAACTGATAATCAGAGGTCCTAAGCTACTTTCATTAGCTGCTGCATCTGATAAATTGCGAATAGCACACAGGATAGCAAATTGGGTTCTGTCATCGACGTTATCGATAAAATCACCCAAAACATTGAGTATTCCTGAAAAGAAAAAAATGGACTCGAAGTAATCAAACAAAAAGCGTTGAATGTTCAATTACTACTCCAACAGATGATCCTCTGCCGGTTCTAATTATTTTTTGAATAATTCACCCCAAACTATAATTCACCTAATTCACCCCAATCCAAATTTATCATAACAATGTTAAAAGTGTACTACTTAATTATAAAATGACTTGAAACAAATCACTATAATGAAATTCTTACCAAGAGAAATGAGGGAGGTTTTGTTTTGTGGGCACACTGAAAGTGCCCGAATACAGCGCATCACAGTATAAACAAGCTTTGGATAATGACGATGTGTGCTCAAAAGATCGATTAATGACGATGGACCACCTAAGGAAAGGAATGAGAGTTTGCTCTGTGGGTTATCCAGTAGTAAAAGATAGAGCGAATCTGTCAATAGTGCTAGGAAACGTGAATAATTTTCCCGAAGAAGGGGAGTCATTGCTTCCAAGCCTCCACATGCCCTTGTTTCCTGTAAATAAATTCGAAGAGCAAATCCAAAAGATTCAGCAGAATGAATTGCCAAAAACAAAAAGAAAAAGTAAAACAGAGAAAATAACCTCTTTTGCATAATCCATAAAAAGAAGTAAGTTGTGAAGCGTGGTGATGGCATAATGACGAACAGCATCTAATGGAATTCCAAGCATTCGAACCAACTCGGGAATGCCACCAGAACGAAATATTTGCATACGTCCTTCTGCATGTTCCGAAATATGTGAAAGAGCACCAAGTGCATCTCTTCGTATAGCATCATTTTCCAATCTGAAATCTTTTTTATTTAACCAACCGACTGCCTCAAAACAAAAAGTTGAAGAACTCCAAAATTATTTTTGTAAATCAGTACTCATTCTGAATGGTAACAATACTGAACAATGTTTGTACAAAAATTAATGAAGAGTACCGAGTAACACCGCATAAAGCATTTATAAGAGTTGGATTTGAAGCTATTGCATTCATGGATTTGCTTTCACGCGATAACATGTGCACCATATGAACAGCTCGCATAATCACTGTCTATAAGAAAGTTTCGTTATCTTTTAACAACTTACTTCTTACTCTAAACGTGTAAAATGACGAACTCCTTTTTTCATCAAATCCCTGGCCACTCTCAGTCTGTAGCAGAAGGTACTGGTTAAGCCACCCAGTACTCTAGAACCAGAAAATATTACGGAATGACACAAACAGTTTTATTCAGCGATTAATCCATCTACCCATTTCTTCTACCTAATAAATAAAAATAACAGAAATAACAAAACACTGTTAAAAAATAAGCAATTGGTTGATGCAGAGCTTCTGCACTGTTGAAATTTACTATTTGATATTATAATGCTCTGTTAAATAAATTTGGTTATACTTTACATTGTGTGTATTAATGCGCATTTGTAGTTTTATGTTTTGTTAATGACTTTTAACTAGCTGCACATTTCAAATTTATTGTGTCTAAAAAAACGAAATTAGATAAAAACAAATTGTGGAATTTAAATTCAAAGTAAACGTAAAATTGTGGAGACAATTAGAGACATAAATGACTCATTCGGCCTAGAAACTGCTTAATAGTTTAAGAACATGTAGTGCAATAGTAGTTCAACGTTTTGTGAAGGCAGCAGAAGCCTTGACCGTGAAGAATAGTTGACCCCGGAATTCATAACGTCATTTGAAGGCAACTATAGAAGTCCTTACAATCATGTAGGAAGAATGTGAAACTACGAGATAACCGGAAACCAAAAGTCATTATTTTCCTGAGGCAATAAAAACATTTTAGAAGTGCGATTAGGAAATCGATTATATGCAACGAAAATTGTATACTTCTTCAAGAAAATACCTGACAATGAACGCTCGAAAGTTGAACAATTAAGCCATGAAGTTCTATCATCCTTCATATTAATCTGACTCCCTTACCACTTCTTCAATCAACCCAGAAATATTTTCAGAGGAAATACTTCCATAAGTAAGATGTAAATATTTTCCATGAGTTCATAAAATCGATTTCAAGGCAAAGAAATAAGCTTGTTTCCAAATAGCAAAAATATATTGATTATATGTTTGTAATGACTTCAAATTCATGATTCAGAAAACCTCCATTACTTTTGTGATTAACCTGACGACGTCACTTTGTATATTTCTCTTTAGATCAGAGTAATATTCTGGATGGAAAAAAGCAGAAACTTCTACTTTTTACAACCGGAAAGGATCGCGTAAATGTAAGTTACCTCATCTTTATCCGCAAGTAATTTTACAAGTTCAGGAATTGCTTTTGTTGTTAATTCCGTTTCATCCTGAAGACTGAGCAATTCCACAACGGCAGTTGTTAACAATTGGCTTGGCTCCGCTAGTTTCGCAACAATTGTTGAACGACATGGTAATGATGGCATATCACTTGTCTTATTAGGACATAAATCAGGAAACATTGCAGCACGGATACGATCGCTGCGCGTTTGTGCATAACTTTCATCTATTTCTGCAGCAAACATAATTTTGTTTCCTTGGTTTTATTAGTAACAACAATTTTGAAAAAACTCAATCTTTTCAACTCAAAATTTCCCTACGTATCATGTATGATCCCTTCTACTTAAGTAAATATCATAATTCTATTTACTTACAGAACTGTTCGGTAAATGGACAGCAGCGTAACAAAATACATAACACAATTTTCTTAATGATTCCGAAGAAATTCATCATCTCAACTATCAAATTTCTCCAAACAGTCTCGCAAATACTACAAACAACCTCTAATTTTTTTCCTTTGAGAACTAGCTAATCATAATTTCCATGAGTGTAATAAGCCACAATGAAAAGAAGTGATCAACATTTGAAAAAAAGATAAATGATAAATACTTTGAAATAAATCAAAAAATAAATAAATAAAAGATTAAAAAGCACATGATTGAGGCGCAACACTTCCTTCAATTCAAGCCTCTTCAATTATAACTACAATATAAAACTTATTCTCGTTCCTACTGTTAATAAGATTTTCAGAATCTGAAAATTTTCCCAACATTTCGTTTGTAATACTTCATTCTAATTTCTTTTCTCAAACTTTTTTTCCCGAACTATGAATAACCACTTTGTGCATTACAATTTTCGAAATAGCATATTAACTTACCTTTAAATAACACGTACGCATAATTTGTTTCGGAATCATTACCGAACAAGGGAGACAAATTATAATCCAGACGTAAAGTCTCACCATTCTCCATCTTTTATTGTCTGGAAAAAAAACGATGAATTAAGCTATATTCCTCAAAAAATACTAAGCGATAAGAGCTAACAGGTTATGATGACAAAAGCACATGGTAACAATTTTCCCTCATCTAACTATTTGGAATTAAAACTTTCTAATAAACTTCCAACTTTCAAAAATTGATGTTTCACTTTCAGGTATGCGAACATGATAATAGGAAGTAACATGTAAAAATTAGTATAATCGATCTCACAACCCTCGGATTATCCAAAAAACATCAAATTCCAGAAAAGCCAAAAATCTACCACTACAACCACTAGCCCAATTCTCAACAGTACAGTGTTGCAATATTTCACGGCAGCCGTGAGCAATGAGTTGGGACGACGCAGGCGCAATCTGTTAGTTTTCGACAATGTACGTTAATGTTCTTTAAGGTTTTATGTTGTTGTCCGAGGATACTTAATGGTTTTTGTATTGTTCCATGATGTTCAGTTTTCAGGGTTTACATCTATCAAGTTTTACATTATCTTGTGTAGATGTTTGCCTGTTTTTGCACTATTCCGTTAGTGTTCAAGTTCAAGTCTTTTATTTTTTTTTTCCGGGAACGATTATCGGCTTTTACATTGTTCAGGTTTTTCTTTGTTTTTGAATCCAATTACTAACTAGTAGCCTCCGGTTCCTTCTCACTTTTTTTGTAAAACTAATAGAAAAGCGTGGAAAATATTAGCATGTCATCGGATCCGACTTATTCATTCTTAATTAATTACAAGTTGGGAGATAATAAATAGTGAATGTTCCGAAAGCTTCCAAGTTTGAAATGAAAAAATTTTAAGCTTTAAGTCATAAATCTCTGTTGAAATTCTTTCGTAAATCTACAAGCAAATATATAAACTATACTTGTAGATTTACGAAAGGATTTCGGTAGAGATTTATGATTTAACATTTAATAGATAAATATAAAAATATATTTTTATATTTTATATAATATTTTGACTTAAATTTTTAATTTTTTCCTTCAAAAAATGACCGCAATGATTGGTTATATATTACTTATCTAAACAAATATGAGTTATTGAAAATGATTCACATAGGAAAACGGTGCGAATGGATGAGAGGCAGTTATATCCGGGATTCCATTATTGTATCTCTAGCATGAAGTGATGCTCTCTTCGTGTGCATCTCTTTCAAATTTCTAGTTTCGATGAAACATTAAATTTTTCTTAGCACATCTAATGCTACAGTGGAAAAAGAAGACTACGGACACGGTTTGTGAGAAGGAATGAAATATATACTGAAAGTTTGTTCTTGTATTAGAGCAGAAGAATCCTGGTGTCTTCTGTAATAATCAAAATTATAGTTTCACCATTTTATTGTATATCTCATCTAATCCATCTAAGTGAAATGAACTTTTTCAAAATAAATTTTTGTCCATAAAGAAGTCGTTCATTTTCCAATTCACTGCCACGGCTTCGAATTCCTCTACCGTATACATGAGCATAAACCTTAAATTTCAATTAATCGAGCGGAGTGCTTTTACTATCAAAGTAATTAACGATAGCCTATGTCATCCATATTCTCCTATTGTCTAGCACGTGCATGTCATGCTGCGTAACATGCATCTGGACATAGCCTATGTCATCCTTATCTCCCTTTTGTCTAATAGGTGTATATTATGCTGCTTAACATACATCTGCAAATTTCATTTGACATCCCGCACTCATCACGCGATATTCTATATCCGTCCCTCACCTCCCGCAATAACCTGAACTGCTCGGAAAGTCGACTCAATAAGTGGTAGGGTTGAAATTGTAGTGTTGGATTTGATGGGCCACATAAATAGAGGACGCTAAATGGTACATTTTTGCAACTCTTTGTGACATGTTAATTTGATTCCGTGTTAGTGCAAGTCAGTCGGTGGAAGGTTACAGGGGGTAGTTGGACGAATTCTATTTTTTCTAGTTAAAACATAATATTTTTTGAAAAATCAATCCTTCAGCAATACAATAAGATGTGCAAGCAGATGAGCAAAGTTGAAATTTTTGAATAAAAAGTTTCCTTGATAGATGAAGTTTGTATCTGTCCGTTCTCTCACTTTCTCAATAATTATTTATCTATCTTCAGTTGTTGTTTGCTGCTAAAAAGAGTGTTAATAGGATGGCAGATAATTCCCAGTTAAAAGGAAAACCATCACGGAATATCGGTGATGCCCGGATTGCTGGACTTTACGACCTACAGAAAACCATCGGCAAAGGCCATTTCGCTGTAGTCAAATCGGCAAGTCATGTTTTCACGGGTGAAAAGGTGATTTTTTTTGCGTTTTTCCAATTCGTTGAAGTATATAATGGGACCGATATTCTCCTTTAGATGGTAAGATGGATAATTCCATATATGTTTTATCCCGAATTGCAGATATTTTTTCATGGCATTACATTCTAAATTTTATACATTTTTCATGATCCACATATCTTGATTGTTAAGCTGTGGAAAGCTGATTGAAATCCTCACTTTTTTAGGTAGCTGTGAAAGTGATTGATAAGACAAAATTTGGTTCCTCAATGGCATCTCATCTGATAAAAGAGGTGACCGAATTCATTCTAAACTTTTTTGAGGATGTTTTTTCAAAAATTGTTTCTATTGTTTTTAAAATTTGTTTTTCAAATTTCGCCATATTATTTATCAATGATTATCAAAGTTATCGTTTGATGAAAACTTGATTAGTTTAAGGCGTCAAGTCTTATTTCATCTCGTTATGGTATGCTTTTCAAAAACAAGGTTTTTTGTGTATACATATGTTTATAGGTTCGTTGCATGAAATTGGTGCGGCATCCAAATATAGTTCGCTTATATGAAGTTATAGACACACAAACGAAGTTGTTTTTAATTCTCGAATTAGGAGATTATGATATGTATGATTTTATTACGAAAAATGCTGATAAGGTTAGCAGTTAAAATTTGTGTTAACATGTCTGTGCATGATGTCTCGGAAATACGTACAAAGGATAGCGATGTGTGTTAATGGTTGTAGTAGATGGATTAAGTGAAAATTAATTTATTTTCGTTAACATTGAGAACCTTTCAGGGCTGTCCAGAAAGCGAAGCACAACAGTATTTTTGCCAAATTATTAAAGCAATTGATTACTGTCATCAGCTGCATGTCGTTCATCGAGATCTAAAGGTACAATAGTTACTTTGTTGATTAGTTTTCTTGTTTGCAAAAAGGTACGTTAATGGTAAATGAACTGAACAAATTATCATCAAATGATTACAGCCTGAAAATGTAGTGTTCTTCGAACGTCTGGGCATAGTAAAGTTGACGGATTTTGGATTCAGCAATAAATTTATTCCTGGCCAGCAACTTGAAACTGCATGCGGCAGCTTAGCTTATTCAGCTCCTGAAATCTTGCTGGGAGATGCCTATGACGCTCCAGCCGTTGGTATACTTCTAAATAAATTTTTTTGTCACGAGAAATAATTTAGAAGGATTTACTATACCTTATTCATCAGCAACAACTTTGTTTGAGTTCTCGAATAGTATTAACTACTGGAAGATGAACAACAATACAGATATAAAAATTGTTAAAAAGTACTTCAACAGATTAAACATTTAACCTCGTATGGTGGTAGTTCTAATAAGCCGCAATAGCAAGTTCTGTTTATGGTCATTAAATTTTATCATTTAATGGCAGTGAACAGAATTGAAGAGATCGTCATGTCATTGATGGTGTCGCGAATTTTAGATGTGTGGTCACTGGGAGTTATTTTGTATATGTTGTTATGTGGTCGGCTGCCATTCCAGGAGGCAAATGATTCGGAAACTCTGACAAAAATATTAGATTGCAAATATTCTCTTCCAGATACACTTTCCCCACATGCTCGCTAGTAAATTTTTTGATAAATTTAATTTATACTTGCATAATTACTTCTTCCTGTTTCCGCCTACATTTTTGACTAAAACAGATTATTTGAAGGCCATTCTTCTAGCATTTCTATCATTCTTGTTAAATTGTGCATACTGTTTATTCTTTCAAGTTTTTAGCTAGGGTTTGCATTATGGCTTTAGAGTTTTGACTTTAGAGGGAATATGGTAGGATGAATTAATAACTTTTTGGAGAAGTCTCGTTTATCATGATGCAAAATAATGGATTACAGTCTCATATCAAGAATGTTAGTGAAAGATGTCCAGAAGCGTGCAGCACTTAGCGAAATTATTAATAATTCATGGGTGAAAGCTGGAGATCTTGGTCTTGCTCAAATTTTACCCTTGGTTGGACGAGATGTGCTTTCGGAAAGTGCACATACTGCAATCATTGACCAAATGGTAGCCGGTGGTGTTGATACGGAAGAGAATATTCTTCGGTAAGTAGCTCTTTTGTACTAAATAACTTGTTAGCTGTTTTTATTATAAAGAAGATATCTTTCCAGACGTTACTTAAGATTATAGACCGTTTACTCCTTTTATGTCCAGTTTGTAAAGATTACATCGTGTCGTTTATTGATGAAAATTTGCAGATCGCTAGAGAGTGATGATTTTTCTTATATTACTGCCACGTATTATTTACTTGCGGAAAGAGTTCTAGCATCTTATCGTGAAGAACGCGCTAAAAAGGCACATGAGGTTGAGCGTCCGTCGTTATGCGACTTACCACTTGACTTTAAAAATTGTCCTGAAATAAGGTTTTTTTTTTACTTATATGAAACTTCGGTATCATTAAATTTTGAATTACTGGAATTAAAACTAAACGATGAAGTTTTAAACTATATAAGGTTTTAAATGCACCAGCTTCATTCTGTTTTTATTATTATCGAAAAAGAAATGGAAAGAATAATGTTGTCTTTCATTTTACAGAGAAACAGTTGGAAAAAGTGAAGAAGGAAGTGATTATAAAAGTAGAAGTCGATCCAATTCATGGCGTAATGGTACTTCTGTTTCGCGACGGCCATGTACAATTTTGAAAGAAGAAAGTGAAGAAGAGTTATCAACATATCATTGTGGTACATCAAGGCAGTCATCAAGGTGCTTTTATTTATTCAAATATCTCATGTATTTTACTAGTGAATTGTAAGTGTTATTATTTGCATCGTTTTTTTCCTTTTTATACCTATTGCTTCCTTTCATTAAAATTAACGTATGTTCTGACGAAAAATGGTAAATTCCAAAATAGGAGACATGGCATCTTACTATTAATACAGATTTCACCAGCCATCCGTAATACTTTATAAGAACTTACATATAACTTGATTTGTATTTTTCTGGCAGATAATACTAGCCGACATCGTTGATTTTTTCATTTTGTTTCCAGTCCTCACTCTTTTTTTGTCAACGACTTTTAAAATGTTGGTATATTTCGCCTAATAACTACATAGGATGAAGATTTGCGATTCCACATAACTGTCGTGTCTTGCTAAGCTGTTTAAGATTGTTACAGATAGAGCAAGCTTTCAATGTTTCATGAACATGAAAGTTTAAGTCGTTTTGAAGATTTTTCCAGTAATATTCACAACTACCCATTAGACGATGCAATTTAGCTCTTCATTAATTTGGATCTTTGCATTCAGAATCAGTTGCACTGTAAGATTGAAAACTTATCTTTATGGTTATGGTCGGCTTTTTCAGCATCATTTCCATAAAAGCGTTAGAGAGGAATTTTTATATTTTTCTCTAACAAAATCACGATTAAACAAAATTGGGTGGATTTGTGAACTGATCAGAAATGTAACATCTCTTTGCGTATTTTGAGTTTTGTTAATTTACTGCGTTTACTGTGCTGATTTTTTCTCATAGTACTTTTTTGTTGGACTTCCATCACTAATTACTGACCTAATATATTAGTAATATCGACATTCTGCATTCCTTACTAGCTGTACTACTTGGTGTCTTATTAGCAGTTAATCACTGCAGGATTTGAAGCAATTAATAGGAAGTTTGATTTACTGAATAATTCTCTTCACTCTTTCACTAAAATTTTTTATTTCTCTTATGTGGTGAACTTAGTGACAAAAATATTCCGATCTCCAAGGCCTTCATTAATTAGAATAGTCATAAATTCGTATGAAATCTATTTTTAGGCATTCATCTACAAATTTGCATTTTTAGGCACTCATCTTGCTGTGTGTCAATATTTTCTTCTAACCCCAGTTCACATGGACGAATATCACCTCAGGATATACAGGGCTTACTGGAATTATCACGTGTGAATATCGCGGAAGATAAAAGGCGAACAGTTTCACCGGAGAGCCGTCTAAGCAGTCGAAGTTCTAGTCCACCAAGTTCAAGTGGTCGTACAAGTCCTGGTATGCCAAAATTTTTGCCAGGCTTATTCAGTATTATATGGTCTCAAGCTATCAATTAAGTGATTTGAGATAGTTTGTAAGGATAATTCGAAGTTCTAATTTGCAATGTTTGTGTAGACTACTTTTTTGAAATGCATTTCGGTAAAAGTGTAATAATTTAGCAATTGGTCGATTGAAGATTCCTTTTGCTGGATTTAGTGGATTGCGGAAATTAGGCTCATCGCCACATCTGCTTGGAATTTGTGAGGTATTTTTTTTTAAGTATCTCATTTCTATATTTTAAAATCAAATAAAACTTTATATCATTAAAAAAAAATGTTCAGTATAAGCATTATATAAATTGGTTTTATAGGAGACGGAAGAATGTGAGTTTGATAAAGGTGCGGAACAGCGTAAGAGTGCGACTCGTCGTAGTATTTCTGGTGCATCAGTTGTATCTTTATCGGCATCTCGACTTTTTGTTCAACCGAAGGTATCATTTTTATAAATTTGCGTATTAATTCATCCTACCAATCTGAACCGAGGCACCTTTCACAACGGTTTAGCACTATCGAGTTATGGTAAGACTATGTTCCAGAAGCTTCAAACAAGCCAAGGAAACTCCGCAATATTGTAGCCGGCGATAATCAGGCACTTTGATGGATTTAATTGAATGGTGAGGAAACTAACGTCTTTGGAAGATTGATATTTAATCCTTTCTGATTTGTTTATAAAATTTAAACGATATTTCTGTTTTGCATGAATCTGTTTGTGCCGAACTTCGCTAACGCATTGCATTTCAATTGTTTAAGGTTTTAGAAACAGTATGTCCTTTTTATTTCCCATTTTCGAGCATTTCTGTTTTACAATTTTGTTTTTTTTGTTTTCTAGCTCTGTAAAGAAGATTTTGCGGGTACGAACGTTACATACAGTAATGTGCGCATGATCAGGCGACGTCAAGCAATGGTCTCACCAGATATGGCTCAAAGGTATAAGCAGAGACTTCCTTTACGACATCATGCGGTAAAAGCACAAAGGAGCACAAGGTTTGACTATCAACTGTTGCTGCCATTATAAACTGCTATAATTTGACTTCATTTGGTGGTGTAATTGCATAGGCATAGTGATTTTGAAAGATTTTGATATTATAGTTGTTCATCAAGCGAAACGTCGGATGATGACAATGAGAGAAGATTGAATTTTTTGGCCTCCAAATATTGTTCTAATTGTGGAAGCCGACGAGATAACGACGATGATCCATCAAAGGGTTGATTCCTGGAGGCCTTTTTTTCCTTGTATAATAGTCTATATTTTATGTGTCAGCCAGCATTTTAATAACATCGTAGCGTTGGGGCAGGAAATTCACATAATAATTTTCTCGCCGAAAAGTAATCCTTTTTTGAAGCATTATTATCAATGATGAATTTTGAGTTTTCTGCAACCATTTAGGTAATGGAGGGTCATCGACTGGTCCAAGCAATTCAGGAAATGAGCCAATCACTGGAAACACGATAAATGCTTCTGATAATGCTTCATGCGATCATGACTGCCAATATTCTGGTAAGTCAGCTTATGTCTCTGTATAAATCCAGTGATTATGGCGTAAAAAATTTTGCTGCGCATTCTGCTTCATTAAGAAAATGTTGGTTCTCATTAATTTTCTTTCGAAAAATAGAATATTATTTGGAATAAATTGAACATCAGTCATGTTAGTGGAACTATGATGAAATAATGTTTATTTGTACTTGATTTTGTTATCTGCTGATATAATTATTTTTTCCTTATCCCGCTCATTTTGATAGAACCTCTTTACTTCCCGTGCCACGATATCTCGACTTATAGTTTGCCTGCATGTACTACGTTTTTCGCATTTATTATTTATTGATTATCCTATGTAATTCCTATAGTATTTCAAGAACAATCATCTCGACATCGCAGTTCGTTGGGTCTAAAATCGTTGGACATTACTCAAGTGGTGCCTACAGCTTTACATCCTATCAGAGAAATGCCAGCAACACTTTTCTCTCACTCACTTTGTCAGAGGTTTTGCCTTAATTTTTGTAAAAAAAAGCATTTTTAAAAGAATTGTTGCTTATCCCATCATTAGTCACAGTTAACGTGATTTCAGTATTATAAAGAGTTAAACCAAAGCAGAATGCTAAATATAACGTCAAGAAACTTTGAAATGTTGATAACTGCAAATTATGTTATTCCTTTTTTCGGATCGAAAAGGGATGAAGAAGAAATAGCGGAACGAGTGGATTTCTCATGTCTGTATTTGACTCGAACCGAAAAACAAGCTAAACATTGTGCTTTTACACCGGTAAAGCATTCTTGACTTACGTTAGCTGGATGGAGCTATCACATTTTTGACGATGTTCTTAATTATACAGTGAAATTTATGACGCTTCAATGCTTTAATATTATCTGTAGTACTATCTGGGAAAGATAATGTTAGTTTCAAGTTATTATTTTGTGGAATGAACCAATAATGACTGGTATATACGAATTTAATTTGTGAAAGATCATATTACTGTTATGAATTTCCGAAAGATTACAAAAAGGACTTCAAATTTCTTCGGCACTAATAGCAAGTTTCACGTTGCGTGCTGCTTTTAACTTTACTGGTAGGCAAAGTGCTGATATATATGTAGCGAAGTGTTGAAATGAATATTGTAAAAATCATTATTGCTCGTTTTTATAGTTTCTGATGGGAGAAGAAAAAGCGATTCTTTTCCATGGTATATATAGATTATGCTTGTTTACCCGCTGGTGAAGTAGATTCCGTTGTTCTGTGTAATGATTTTGAAATACCATGGAAACAGCACGTGCTGATATATTTTTTACTTCACATCGGGAAATGAAATGATTTTATTACTCTGCAGAGATGATCTCATATTAATTGCATTCCTCCTTTTAAGTTTTTCTGTCTTGACATGCTGATACTGGACGCATTTTACTTGATTGTCTTAATGCGTTTTTGAAGCATGAAGAATGCAAATAATCTATTTATTAAAGAAGAAAAAGAGTCATTACTCTTTCGGATCCCGCGGTTGGATATACGGTTTAAGTGATATGTTGGAGTAAACAGTTCATGACATTATGGTTAGGAGTTATTTTATCAAAGAAGTTTGATGCATTTATAGCAGGATCAAACTAAACTTAGATCTCAGTCTCATAACAGAGAAGAGAATTGCATTGAAATGCTACATGAAGTATGCCTGTTTTTATATCTGATGATAAAAAAATGTTTTGTAAATTTAAATCCATGATGTGGCGTGAAGGATGTCTGTTCGCAATATTAATTTTGTTTTATTTCAAGAAGCGGTTTATTCTAATTAGGCTTATAAAAATGAGGAAACGAAGAAAGAAATGCCTAGAAAGGTTATTATTTTTCACTGTGACAAATTACTGAATAAAGAAAGCGCGAATAATTAAATTTAATCAAGTTATTAAGTAGTTGTTAGGAGAAGATTCCAAAAAATTGTCACTGATATTCTAATTGGCGTTATGGAATGCTCGTGTTTTTTTAATTCAAGGTTACGCCTTTTTTATTGAAGTAAAATGCTTATTTTGCATGTTTGCTATTGTTTTTTTATTAATTAGACGTTATGGTTTTTCAGTTCCGCGTCATTTCAACAATTTCATCATTTGTTGTTCGTTGTTATTTTGCGACGGTACCATTTTTCAAATTGTTGAGGAAAGATGCTTGCCTCAAATCATTAATTATATGCTTTGTAATTATTTTTTTATATTTGTCAGCAAATGAGAGATAAACATATGTTAATTTTATTTGCTTCATCATACATATTAACTGCCTTAAAAAATTAAGGAATTATAAATGTATTTGTCGGTTTCGTTCGGAATTCACATAATGCTTGTTATGATAGAGAAGAAATTTTTCGGGGATCTAAATTTTATATTTAGCATAGGATTAGGGAAAGCTTTAAAACTGTATTGCTCTTTACAAAACGTATTGAAAAATTGTACTTCCATTATTTTCCGTATTTGTTTTGTCGTAATTCAGTGTTTCTTTCTAATGAATTTCTACTTTTATTTTGGAATATTTGATGGAGTTATATTTGTTTATAAATAAAGTCTTTCGTTGTTTGTTATTGCATATTACTCTAAAAAGCCTTTATTATATTGCAGTTGTATACAGTCAAAACAATCACTTTTGAATATATTTTTACATCCTTGAATCTTTTAAGCGACATTAAATCTTTACATTGCTTCCGGAGTGAAATTCCACTTTCTATTCTTAGGAATTGAAGTCAATGGGAATAAATCCTCACAAGTTTAGCTGAGAAAGTTGTATCTTTCTCTATTTTCACAGCTTATACTGCAGTATTCCGCTGTCAACGTCCAAACATCCTTCCAGATTGTGTGCAAGAAATGAAATAATTCACAAGTCCGCATCGGGTTCTCCGATGAATTGAATGTGGTTTGATTAGTTTTAATCAATCATTCTATTTTAGGTCTACCTATTGTTGATTTCATCTTTCTTCCATAAATTGTGATCTCATGCTTATTGATGACTGGAAGACAATATTTGTTTCAAATGGGATCAACAAATTTATTATTGTCAGAGACTAAACGTCGTTTGGCTATGTTTTGCTCGGAAGTCTGCGCTTCGCATGTAAAGAAGCCAATGTTGGTATGGCCAAGGAAGGTACACACTTTGAAAAGTTTAAATACTTTGATTAATTTTTAATTCCAAAAAAAGAAGCTTTTGGTTTTGTTGAAGTATTTTAGTAAAATTTATTATTGTGTTTTTACTATAAGCCGAGTATTATTAAACGGAATGGTTAATGTCGTTCGAAACTTTGCTATTAGACTTATTCAGTTCGTTTGAGGAATATGGTATATCAACAAAATTGTTTGATCTGGAACAATACTGGAAAGAAGTTTCATTGACAGCGCCGACTGTTCATGTTAGTCTTTTTTTTAAATTAAAAAAGTCACATGTTGATGAAAATTATTAGTCAGAAATGCAATTGATGGGATTTTGATCATTTAAAAAAAATATATTTAATTAAATATTATTTTTGTCCATGACAATTTTTCAGCCTTCACGATCGAAAAAATACATTCTTTCGATGTATCCATATCCTTCAGGAAAACTACATATGGGACATATGCGAGTATATACGATATCAGACGCACTTGCTCGTTATTACAGGTGATCTCAAATTTTGCTGTCTAATAAGACAGCAGTAATGGTTTGGAAATGGAATATGAGGCAGATTTGATCTTCATTTCAACTTTTCAACTGGAGGTTATCTGTATTATTTTAAATGAACAGACGATTAATTTCTTTCTTACTTGAACTTTATCCAACTTTATTATAGAAAGTTCAGTTTAGATTGAACGGTTACAATGTTATTCATCCGATTGGCTGGGATGCCTTTGGTTTACCAGCAGAAAATGCTGCTCGAGAAATGGGTGTTGATCCAGCGCAATGGACAGCAAGGTGAGGAAATTTAGTTTTAAAATTTAGTCCCTCAGTGAAGATATGTGCAACCTATTTTAAGTGCCTTTGATGAACTTATTATTGGACTTTTTATCATCAGAGATGTTCGAAAGTCTTATTCCATTGTTTCAGCAATATTGATGTAATGCGCCAACAGCTATTGAGTACAGGCATTATATTTGATTGGAACAGAGTAAGTTTTTTCGGTAATTTATTTCGAATAAGAAATTAATTTTCCTCTTAAAAAATTTGAAGCTTGCTGCTGTTTGATGAAAAGTATGCATATAATTTAAAGAGTGATAAGTTTCATCCTGTATGTATGTTTTTTCTCTTCCTTAACATTAGATTAATTCTACTCATTGAGTAGGGTCATAAATGAAATTATATAATCAGTCTCATCTCGATAACATCGGTAGCAGTACATTAAAGTTGCCATGATTTTGATAATATCAAATTGCTATCTTAAAATAATATGAATGACAAGTTTCGTTAAGGAAATTTCGACTTGCTCTCCGGATTACTACCGTTGGACGCAATGGATTTTCTGTCGACTCTTTGAACGTGGCCTAGTTCGACGAGCTCTAGCTGAGGTCTTTTTTGTGGATCTTGATGATTTTTAAAGTAACAGCTTTTCTTCTCTATTTATCAATCTTTTTTTATCTTGTAGCCAGGGATTTCGTAAAGATTTCAGGTGTACTGGGATCCCATCGATTGTACCGTTCTCGCTGCAGAGCAAATTGATGCAGAGGGATGTTCATGGCGTTCTGGCGCAATTGCTGAAAAGCGTAAAATGAAACATTGGATGATTGAGACGCCAAAATATGCGAAAGTTGGTGCATTGCAGTAGTTTATATGTGGTAACTTGAGACTTTCTACTGGTTTATCTTAGTTTATTTAATTAATTTCCGGTTTTTCAGCGCATGTACGATGGACTTGAGAAATTAACACACTGGAAAGAAGTAGCAGCCGTACAGGCTAATTGGATTGGGAAATGTAATGTTTGGAGATTTTTACTACCTTTAAAGGTAATTATTTGCCGTTGAAAAGGACTAACATTCTTTAATTATTAATGAGCTGTCATTCCCACAGTATATGTTCGCATGCATTCACGCAGTTTTTAAAGAAACATTGAACATGCGAGCCTTTCTGCTGTTTTGGTAAACAGAAAATATCTTTATCCTAAATTATTGAAATGTTTGAACCAATGCATGATATATGCCTTGTATTTCTATTCAAGATTTAATAATCTTTATATAAGAATATTAAATGACTCAATAATATTGAAGTTTTTAAGGAGAAAGACGGCACATTGCTGGACGAAAAATTTGACCTACGAATACGGAAACCGCATCATCTAGCTACTGCTAGTGTTGTTTTCATTCAATCCGGCCATCCTCTTTTCAGCTTAGCTGACGAAAAAGAAGAAATAGGTTAAGTAATCAATCAACTGAAGTTGAAAGTAAAACCAGATTACTAATGAACCCAACAATTGATGATTTTTGAATTTTGCTTTTTTAGATGTTTAGAAGATTCCACATCTTATTTAATGTTTGATAAAAGTAAGGCTTAAGACTCATATCTTTATGTTGCTTATTAACTTTCCAAATTGGTCTACATATATGCATGTTTTTCAGGTGTTTTAAATGTGACTGCACTGAACATCATAACGGGGAAAGACATGCATATCATTTATATGAATAAAAATGCTGCTAAAAATGGTAATGGATTCATCTTGAATGCAAGACTTCCGTGTGATGCAGAGGAATTTGATAAAAAGATCTTAGAAAGTTTCGGATTTTCAGCAGAATCATCTGGAATTGCTCTCACCGACAATGATGTAATTCAGATTGCCGAAGTTAGTTTTATTTGATAAACATCTCATTACATTTTCCTGTAGAGTTCTCCCTTTGAGATATCCAAAAAAGCACAGTTGCTTCTCTGTGCTGAGAAAGAAAAAATTTCTCTGCACTGAAAAATTATGTCATTTTCCATGAAATTGTTATTGCCAACACATTAGTAGATCTAAAAGTAGTTTTGCTCTTAAAAGTTTTAACGAAATATTCAATTCTAATTGTTCTTTTTTTATGAGAAGTTTCCGTTTAAGTTTGGAAATTATGGTGGTTATGAGACAAGTGAAAGATTACTTGATTGGGTTGTTTCGAGGCAGCGGAAGTGGGGTACTCCAATACCAGTATTACTTAGTGCAGATGATCGATATGCCGTTATTGTTACTGATGATCAATTACCTATTATTGCTGCTCGCTGTAAATATGACGAGAAAATTCCATGTCAGAGGTTAGTTTCTAGAATTTAAATTTCTTGTATTGTTTTATTGAGTCCGAACTTCAGGATAGTTTTTTTAATATATTGAGCCATCATTTTTTAATTAATCTTATATTTTATAGATTTATAAGTAGAAAACTCCTAATTAGATTATCTAACACTTTATAAATATTGAACTAACAAATACTTCCTATTTTCAGATTGCCAGATGGATTTGGATATTGGGAAAAGGATACTTTGGATACATTTTTTGATTCTAGTTGGTATTATTTAAGGTTTGTTTCAAAACTGATCTGTTGGGACTAATCATGATTTTATTGTAAGGATCAAAATTTTGCAGATTTCTTGATCCCAAGAACGATACCGAATTGATCTCAGAAAAGAAATTTGTAGATATGCCAGTTGATGTTTATGTGGGTGGAATAGAACACGGTAATATTTTATATTGTTCGCCCTCTTGATTTCTTTTTTTTGGAAGAATTTGAAACAGCTGATAATCTAAATTATTGATTTACTCTTAGATGTGATATCTACTATTTATTAAGTATCCGACCCGTGTCTCGCATAATTTTCATTTGCGAATAGTTACAGCTTCGTTACATTTATTTTTTGCCCGATTCATATCCTATTTCTTATACGATATTGGCGTATCTTCTGTGCAGGAACCTTTTCATAGTTTGTTACCGCAAGGGATTGTGTGTAGTCGCACTTTTAAAAGAAGCGATAGCGGAAAGTATGTTAAGGAAGATGATGTCGTGCAGACAGGTAAGGAAGTTTCAAAAATGTGAAGTCATTTTATAGTTAAATTTAGTCTTGGCAGTAGTAAGAATTCATTAGGCCTAATTGGAATTTTCACTGATCAAAGCTCGACGAATACATTACGTAAAATCTGAAGAAGACTAATAAAACAAACCCTGCTAATAATTGAATCCTCTTAGTGATTCCTTTATGCGCATTTAGTAATCATAGCTACTGGTATTCATTATTCACTGAAAGCTGGAATCTGTTTTAGCTATCTGTCGATTCCTTTGCAATGCTAAGATAAACTAACCATATAATCATGTAGGAAATGGTTTCATCGTAAAAAAAGATGGGTGTGCAGTAATTACGCAGTTTGAGAAAATGTCGAAGTCAAAACATAACGGTGTTGACCCATTAAGCGTATTGAAGTTGAAAGGAATCGATTTAACTCGTTTGCAGTTATTGAATGAAGCTGCACCGAGAGAACCTATTAATTGGGGAGATACAGGTATGTCTTTGTTTTATTTTAACTGGCAGTCTAATCTGAATATGCTGAAATCTAATCTAGATGCATACTGAAATAACATGGAAAGATATGAGAAGTGAGCACAGTCTTTAAAGATGAAATGCAAAATGTTATCCATTATAAAATCGTAAAAGTAGATTACTTTACAGTTGTGTAATGTGTTTACTGTTATACATAAAGCAGTACTTAATTAAATCGCATTTCTACTTTTTCTTAATATCATTTCAGAATTAAAAGGTCTTTTCAAATTTATGGAACGAACATCGGATGTTGTCAGCTTCTACGTAGAGCAACGTGCATTTGGAGCTTCAGCTTCACCTGACCCATTAGACGTTGCAGAAGAAGAAAAATATCGCACTATATATAATTTTTATGTCCGTAATGTATGTTTATATCTTATTTGTCATCTTCGTATTGTAGAGAAATACCAAGGTTGAAATTCCTTTTTATTTTTTCAGAACACTTATCATTCCAAAAAGTAAAAGAGAAGTTTAAAGATGTTCTTTAAGCCATACTTGCTGTTGCTAGTGATAACCTATTTTTAGATTTCTATGGTTATAGAAGTCTTATATTTGCATAACACTGCAATAGATCACCTGCAAGCTTTCGTCAAGCTTTTAAAGGTGAAGAGAATTTTTGATATGTAATTGATTTTTGTCATTTTCTCATTCGGAAAGATTTATCTATATACAGGTTTAAGTTGCTTTACTTTAACATATTAAATTTGTTTTAATTTAGAAAACTCCGGCTGAAATGTATCGTCGTAGTGAACAGCTTGAACGGTGTGTTCACGCATTGGTGATAATGTTGCAGGTTGGAAATTTTAATTTTGTTTATCAATTTACGGAGATTAATATTCTTGAGGTTATTGAAATGACTTTTCCACATTATTGCCACATTTATGAGATAATGAAGAAAATTCATTATAATGATCGGTGAGTTATTGTTTTTCTGCAGGCTGGTGATGATGCTTTTTATGCAGCAATTTTGGAACGTTATCTTTATTTGCACAATGTTAAATCAATGAACCTGCACTGTTCTCTTGTATTTCAACAGAACTTTTCAGTTTATTTCCCATTCCATGAATTCATATAAACTGCTTTTGAGTCACAACATATTATTTTATGGAATTTTATTTCAGTTATTCACACCTCATTTGGCTGCTGAGTATTGGGCTGCATTACGTTCCGTTCCGGCATTGAATAGTCATGCAGTGTACCTGGATAAAGAAATCAACGAACAGCGCTGGCCTCAAGTAGATTTGGATGCCAATATCGACTTCATGATTAATGTGATACTTTTTTATTATGTCTTGATTTCTTAAAGCATTTTCGTTCATTAGTGCCTCAAATTATTCTGTGACTGCATTTCTTTTAGCATGAAATTTTATGCCTCATGCAATTATGTTATCAGTCTCCAGGTGAAAATTCTTAATGCTAAACATCAACTTGTCCCATTTAATCTATACATTACTGATCAGGTAGAAAAAGTTCTTGAGTTTTTAAAAAATTCATTGGAATAGAATGTCTGTTTTGATTTGACTCTCTGAACTATAAAGCATGTCTTATAAAAACCTTCAAAAAGATCAAAATTGAAGATTTTCTCTTTGCTTTAGAATAACAAAGTTATTAAATAAAAGTTATAAAATTTTGCTTTGTGGAAAGTTTTATTTTTTTGCACTCTGGATTTTCCTGTGTGTTCATGAAGCAAAATTCAGTCTCATCTTTTAGGTTGGAAAATTAAGTTGTGGTCGAGTTGAGGTGCCACGTCTAGAAATTGAACATTTGTCTAGCGAAGAAGCTTTACAATATGCGATCAATGGTGTACATAGTATATTTTTCCGAGAGTTAGCATCATTGGGTTTCAGGCCGGTGTCCTGTAAAAAATTGTCTCGAACTGGTGCGTTTCAGTACTTAATGATTTTCTAAATGTTTTCTAAATCTGTTCCCTGATTTTTATATTGTTACTGCTATGATAGTTCAGTTCACTTCATGTTTGGAAAATATTTTTTTTTTTAGGATTTTATGTGCTTCTTGAAGTGAAGTTCAATAATGTACCTGCGGATGAAACACTGTTGGAAATTTTGAGACAAACAAGAACGCTGCGATTGAAAGCAAAGAGAGCAATAAAAAAAGCACAAAAGTAGTTTTGTGAGTGGTTGCAGCCATTAAATTGATTTCAATCCTCCTTTGCAATTCATGAATTGAAAGAAAAATATCGATAAATGTAATAGAATTTATCTTGTTTACTTGATTACCACTGGTCACGTGTATTGTTTTAATTATTAGAAGTGATAATTAATTGCATTATAATTTGATAATAGTTCTTGACAACTTGTCTCTTAAAAAAAAAATTTTTAAATCTTAAAAATCTTAGATTCATTGTTAAAAAATTTTTTCTTGTTATTGTTGTTAACTTTGTTGTGCTTCCAAGCTATCTTAGGATGATTTTGAAATTTATTCGATTTTTGCAATTTATTTCAATATAAGCTAGTAAAACTATCGAACCAACGAATAGGTTTGTTATAATATATATATATACATCTGCTAGCAATTTTTCTGACAATATATTATGAAAAATGACGCAATTCATGCCGTACATTATCCGTCCCATTGTTGAATTTATCGCTTTCATTTTATGTTCTATGAAAAGGTGAATCAATAATTAAAAATGATTGGAAACATCCGACTTTAAAAATTAGCTAAGAGAAATTTTCGGAATGTTTCACTTTTATATCATAGCTTATTTTCTGTTGGAACAATGAATATAGCTTGTTTCTTTTTAAATCTGTTCCATCCAATAATTGGAGCTAATATGACGTGTGGTATTGCGGCATATCTAGAAAATAATGCTCAAGGATGCCTCTTAAGAAATTTTTACGGTTTTCCTCGACTTTATCATCAGTAGAAATTTCCAAAGACTTTATGCAGAGAAAGACTTTATCTTCAGTAGAAATTTCCTTTCATTGCTTATCGTCAATTTTTTTTGTGTTTCCTTTCTAATCGCTTCCAATGATATGTTTTATAAAACTTCTTCATTATATATTTTAATAGCAATCACCATCAATCAAAAAGAAAATCGTGAAAAGTAGTAAAAATTTTCTATTTTTTATTTTTACGATTATCCGGAAGTTTAGAAGATAGAGTAAAATAGTGTAGCTTTGGTGAGCAAAAACTTTGATTTGTTGTAAAAAGCACCTGAGACAGGTGTTTCACCAACGTATTGTACTTTCCTTCATCTTAACTTGACTAAGAGGAATTTGAAAAGTTTTTTCACCTGATTGGAACGTATTGTACTTTTCTTCATTCTAACTTAACTAAGAGAAATTTCAAAGAATTTTTCTTAAAAATGTTCCAATCTTCATCCAATAATCTAACGAACAGAACGACGAAATGCAATATCATATTTAATTCAATCTTCGAATCTTCGATCAATAGATATATAGTAGGAAAATGAAATTTCAAGAATTCATCTTTTATATGAAGTAAGAATAAAAAAGGGAAAGAAAATTTAGTTGTACCGATATATCGGAGAAGAATGAAATGAAAAAGTTAATTATAGGTGAACTGAAGGTAAAAATTACTTTTAGGTTTGCAAATGCAAGCGATTGTTTTTATTATCATAAGATGAAAAGTACAAAATTAGGGAGAAAGAAGAGATTACAACAAATTGACGTAGTAACTCACTCGTTCTGTTATGAGTGACTACAATGTTATGATAATAAATTGACTACAATTTATTTGAGCATCTTTCATTTGAAAAGTGAAGGAAGTAAGAAAATATTGAAATTTCAAAGGTGGGAAAGATTTGTTGAAGTCAATTGGATTGTTGAAGTAAGTATACAATTACTTCTATCCCGAAGTTTTATGTAATTTAGTCATTTAATATTAAATTACATTTAACATATTCTCTTCTTATTTCATTTATCTTAAAAACAATTAAAATATAAATTTTGTTCAGAATGTTTTGATAGCTTTAAGCTTAAATAATTGAATATGATAACTTATCAATAAGAGAGTAAACGAAGAATTTTTCGATTCATACATGCAATTTGATGTTTCAAAAAAAAGATGGAATCTGAATCTGAGTGAAGAGAAGATTTTTTCGTTGTAATGATGTCTGAAAAATGTTTTTCAGTGAAATCTGAACCAATATAGAAGAAAGGTGAAGAAGCTTTTATTACATATGTGACGATATTTGATACAGCTTATCGTATAATTTGTTGACTTTATTGAATAAGAAATAGAAATACATATGCTAGAGAAGTTAGCTAAATTATTATTGTAAATAATAATTCATTTCATTCTTTTCAAGTATTAAAATTAACACCTTCCTAAAAAGTTCTAATTTTTTCGACGAATTTTCTACAAATTTACTTCGTATGATAATATTATGAGATTAATTATAATTGGAATAATTCAATTGAATTGTTTTTTCATTAATTTTTCATTAATTGGAAATGGAATAAAAAAATTTTTTAAATCAATGTTGCTTTTGAAAAAAGAATGAAATATAACTAATTAGTAGAAAAAGAATGATCAAAATATAACAGTTGCTCAATAATCATTGATCAATGAAATTTATTTGATATAAAAACTATGGATAATTTACATCAATGTATATGGAATGGATGGATAGGTGGTATGTTTGTTTATGATACATACATACATATATATGTCTGCATATGAAATAATACATAAATCTATAATGAATTTAATTATTTCATCAAATTTATATGAACAAATATTTTTGATAATTTAAAGTTATTATTTCATTTCAAATTATAATAATAATATTAAATTATAATTTAAATATTAAAATTTTTTTTTGCTAATAAAAAAACAATGTTATAATTTAAATTAAATTCAAAAATTTGTTCAATGAAATGAAAAATATTTCATTGATAAATTAAATAAACAAATAAGTTATCACTAAATAAGAGAAAATAAATAAATTATCTTTCCAAGCATTTGTTCATATTCGTTGATAGTTTTTTGTGTAAAAATTTTTGTTACTCTTTGAAGCATAAAATTCTGTGTAGTATATATTTTTTGAAATTTCTCATTTTTATCATTTCAACAAATTACAAGTTTTTTTCGATCCATTTCAAAATGTTTTGTGGGAAATTAATTGGTTGAAAGGATTGCTTAAATGAATTATTATAAAATTTAATGATATTAAAAAATATTTGTGAATGACTGAGTAATTAATTAATTGAATATTTTCAACGATCTCTTATTCTTCATTGTTATCATTGCATTGATAATAAGTATTATCAATTCATTTCATTGTTGAATACAAATAATTCAACATTTTATCAAATAATTTGCAAATATTTTTTGATTGCAAATATTTTTAATTTTGCAATCAAAGATTAATAAAACATTATTTGTTAATATTTTCACATAAATTTGCATTATTCGATTATATGAATAAAAATAAGATATTCAATTTAAAAATACAAAAAAAGAAAAAAATTGTTTTTTTATCATTTCAAACATCACTTTTATCATTTGTTTATCACTTCGAAAAGGTAACACACACAGACACATATCAAGAAGAATTAGAATAAGATAACTTTTCCTATTTTATCATTTCGTTCTTTATATGTTATCTATCATATCATTTCATTAATTATCATTTAATTTTGTATTTTTATTGAAATGAGTTAGATATGATAAAACAATACGGTACAATTAGATGGATAAAAATATACTCTCAGACATTTTCAGTCTTTAAAATTTCTTAAAAATTCTTTTAGACAAATTCTTTTTATTAATATCTTTTTGAAAATTTCACATTGCTTAAAATTTCTTCCTTTTTTTTCTATTAATTAATTATTTTAAAACATTATGAATTATTATTAACTATAATGCAATTCATTAACAATAATATCTTCTCAAAGTAAACTTCTATAATTTTACAGGTTATCATTTAATTGCTAAATTTTAACAATGTTATCATTTCAAGCGATCATTGTAATGTAAAAGTAAATTTGCTGGAAAAAAAAGAACAAACAAAAATAAAATGCATATTTATGTCAAACTTATCATACATTCTTATTCAGAAAATTTTTTATTGACAGTTAAAAAATAAGGCGGAAATGTTTATGTAAGATAGGCGCTTATATATATATATATGTATTATATTATACATAGGCGCTTATATATATGTATGTATTATATTATACATATGTGTTCAGGCCAATGTTTATGTAAGATAGGGCTTATATATATGTATTATATTATACATATATACGTTCAGGCCAATGTTTATGTATGATAGGCGTTTATGATACATATATGTATTATATTATACATACATATGTGTTCAGGCCTTTCTCACAAAAAAATTCTCTCTCTCTCTCTCTCTCTCGTGGGAGGAAAATGAGTTAAAAAGAAGGGAATCAGTAACACAGTAAATACGAATTAGTTAGTATTGGTAAAAAGACATCCTTTATTTATTGATTTTAATGTAATGGCATTGCATATAATGACGAAAGGCCTAATATTTAAGGCTGGAAAAGGGAGGCATTATTATTTCAAAGCAAGAAGACATGATTGAGGCAGATTTTTTCCATGTTCTTTATTACTAATTTATAAGATTGTATGGAATTTTTTTAAATGAATTCTTAATTATCAAATTGATAGTGTAAGTTCCAACGATAGTAAATTAAATTAAATAAATCGATGTTAGAATAATTATGTTTACTGGCACTAAGGTAATGATAATAAAATAATGTTAATATTGTAAATTCATTATTACAATTAAGTTTCTTCATCTTATTCTCATATATGTATGATTCTATAGGATCATCGTAATTTTAATTATTACGAATAGATATTATAGGCCAAAAGAATAATAGCGTTAATTGTTTATCAAATTTGAAATGATTAACTTTTATTATCTACTAATCTAAAATGATAAATGATATGCAAGTTATTCAATTTCATTTTTTCCTTCCTTTCTTATTTACTTATTAACAACTTTACTGTTACAAGGAACAATAAGAAAGCAATGGATGAAATGATTGCATTGAGAGAAAAAATGAATTGTATTATATCTTAATTGATTTACTTAATAAATTGTTTACGATTAAATGATTAGATATTATCTTCAATTCTTTAATTATATATTCGATAATAT